GTGTTGATTTGGTCAAAGTACAGCAAAAGAAAGAAAGAAGGGATCAGTTGAATTTTCAACAATAAATGATAGTTGATTGTGATGATTGAGATGTGTAGTGATGAGTAAGGAGAGGTGCATGGAAGAGGGACAGGTTGTTTTGACCAGAAATTAAACTGAGGTCATTTATTAGGGTTTTCAAAGGTGAAAGAGATCAAGTTAAATTCAAGAGAATGCTGAGCCAGCTTTGCTAATGTTTGTGTTAGTATATTTTCACTAGCAGATAACAGGTTTTTGATTAGATTTCAGCAAAAAAACGGCACTGGTATCAAAGAAAGCCCAAATCATGGGCCTGCTATGTTGTGCTACAGCACTATGTAGCAGGAACCGACCACTAAAGATGCTGTGGTGCACTGTAACACAGCATAGCAGCATCCCAATGATGCTAATGCTGCTGAAGAGACAGTGTGAGTAGAGGGCCGCTAACCCTATTTGGGCCTGTAGTGCGGCGGCCCACTGTCTGTTGAGTTGAAAAAGCCTAATTGGGAAAGGCACCTGTAAACACTCTTTTTTTAACTTATAAGCTTGAACCAAGGGCCTTATGATGAGATAATCTGATTTTTTTTTTCTGATAAGATGAAATGGTATTAATAATGAAAATAAGGAAACATTATAATTGTAAAAGTACTACATTAAGTAACTAATAATATATTGGGGCCTTTGCCAAAGATTTCTGGAAATTAGTGGGCAAAATAATTTGGAAACCTGTGAAAATAGTTTCACCCGTATTTCCCAAAGAATCTGTTACACGTATATGCTTCTATACTGAGTCCTAGATTAGTCAACACCAATGTAGAATATGCTTGTAGATAGTTGTATATATAGTTAGATACACTTGGAGGAATACGACTTGACACTCTATATACAACAACAGAATCAACCTTGATTTTTCTCAAGGTGTGTACCACAGACACCACCAAACCAACTACTAATTGTCCAGGAAGAACCTCCCCAACTCATCTAGGTGCCAAAAACTCCAAACTCATGCTGACCAAATCAAAACTGGACATTCCAAACCAAGGGGCTGTACTATGGCACTTTTTAGATTGTTATTCCCCACCAAATTGGACGATAAAGAGTGTTGAATTTCTTCCATAACATCTTCTTCTTTCACCCCTTCAAATTATTATTTTTCACGTTCTGAAAAATGATCCGTCTGCCCCTGAGAATCAACTTTGAGATCCACTGATATTCAAGCAAGCAATCAATAGCTTGGCCAGATATTCTGCATCAATCTTTCAGGATTGCCCTGCAGATTTTCTGAACGTAGTCTGGTGGTATGTGGCTACATTTAAAAATGTTGAAAATTGACATAGGTAGATCATTAGGAAGTACAAGAGCAAGCTTTAGTTTACAAGACAATTTCTGTGATGAATTATCCAGAGGTAGAGAGAACGAGATCGAAGAGCCGATTCCAAGAAAGGACTTGAGCAGAGAAGCTGATCAAAGAGGAAGCCTCACTTAAACTAATTGAGCCCTTGAGTGGCGAGTGATTGGTGGGGTTGCGGAAGGGGTGTTCATAGATTGTGAACTGGTTCTTTATTAACTCTTTCAATTGCTCTTCTACCACACCAGAGACCCGTCTCTCCTCCAGCCTTTCTTCCAGTGTTGACTTTTCTTCACTTCCGGGTAATTCGTCTTGTTCTGTTGTCTCGTCTTCGTATTCTGAGACGATCCTCGAGCGGGCCACTAGTAACTGTTTCAATCAACCCCGAATTATCCAGTCAGTGTGATTCAAGGGAGAGAGAGAAGGAAGCTTAACTTACGGATTCGCCAATGATGATCTGAGTTTCGGAGCGAGAGAGTCTGGCGAAGGAGTCGCGATTTTTGAGGACCGACTTGATGATAGATTCGCGAGTGGTAGTGGTGCTGAAGCCAATGAGGTCTTCATCTTCGAGGAGGGAAAGTACGAAGCTGAGGATGGTCCGGGCGGTGAGCCGTTGTAGTAGATCGACAGAGAGGTTGCGTAGCTTCAGGTTGTGGTGAGACGGGTCGCCGGATGGAATGAGATCATCGCACGTCGAGTCTTTCACTATGGGATTTGTTTGTGAGACCGTCCGGTTGGGTATTGGGTTTTGTTGGTGGTCAAGGGCTGCTTCGTCGATTAGGTCCGATTCTTGAATGCTTAGCTGGCTGAGGCCAATTGCTTCTGGTCCTTCTGTTCGAAGCATCTCTTCCGCTTGCTTGGTCGAGTTGCACTGTTGCGGTGGATGTTGAGGAAGAATGGAGCGCTAACTACATGAGAACTGTTCATTGCAAAAAACACACCTGCTGAAATACAACTCTAACTCTCAGACTATCTAAATGCGCAGCACGAGGTTTGGTGAGACTAATCCTGAACCCTAACCATGAGGGTTCAACAGATTTATGCACCCTGATTGCGTCATGCGCAGTCGGCCTCTTGAAGTGCTGCGCGCGGGGGGCTCCCTGTCTCGCTGCTGGCCCTCACCCATAGTAGCCCTAACCCAGAAACAGCCCAGGCAGTTCGTTTGCGAGTCTCACCAGTCGGCACCGCACACTTATTGACCGTGACCGCTGGCTATTGGAGCAGCAGCATCACTCAAGAACGGCTCACTCGGAAGGCGAGTCAATCAGATTCCGTTCATCCCCGTTGCCTGTTCTCATTCTTTCTCTCTTTTAGACCAGGACTCGGATCGATTACTTCAAGATGTCTCATCGGAAATGGGAACACCCGCGTAGGCAATTCCCTGTCCAGTGTAGCTTCACTACTCGTCTAACTGGCTTCATTTTGTTTCTACAGGACACGGGTCCACTGGTTTTTTGCCAAGGAAAAGGGTATGCGCCTCTGTCTCCTTGCGAGAGTATGCGCATCACTCACTCAACCACCTATCTGACTTCAAATCTCCTCCTCGACCCATCTCTCTTTGATCAGGCTGCCCGACACCGCGGTAAAGTCAAATCTTTCCCCGTAGATGACCGCACCAAGCCCGTCCACCTCACCGCCATGCTCGGCTACAAGGCTGGTATGACCCACGTCGTAAGTCCAAAATCCATCCCGAATTCTCCAACACGGCAGTAGTTTACGCAGAACTATTCCACGCTCCTTCAGCTGCGTGATCTCGACCGACCTGGATCGAAGATGCACAAGCGCGAGGTCGTCGAAGCCGTCACTATCATCGAGACGCCACCTATGGTCATCGTCGGTGTCGTCGGTTACGTCGAAACCCCACGCGGTCTCAGATCCCTTACCACCGTATGGGCCGAGCATCTTTCCGACGAGGTCAAACGTCGCTTCTACAAGGTAAAAGAGCCACCTGTCCTCAACCACCCCTCAGCTTTCCCCCCTGATCCTTGTCGATATCATTCCCCGTTCATAGAACTGGTACCGATCCAAGAAGAAAGCGTTCACCAAATACGCCAAGAAGCATGCCGAGTCTTCTACTGGTTCTATTGCTCGGGAACTGGAGCGTATTCGCAAGTACTGCACTGTTGTTCGTGTTTTGGCCCACACCCAGATCCGCAAGACCGGCCTGAAGCAAAAGAAGGCTCACTTGATGGAGATCCAAGTCAACGGTGGTAGTGTTGCCGACAAGGTCGACTTTGCCAAGTCCCACTTCGAGAAGACCTTCGATGTCTCATCAGTCTTCGAACAGAACGAGAACATCGATGTCATTGCCGTCACTAAAGGTAAAGGTTTCGAAGGTGTTACCCATCGATGGGGCACTAAAAAGCTGCCACGAAAGACGCACAAGGGTCTTCGAAAGGTTGCCTGTATCGGAGCCTGGCATCCCAATAAAGTCATGTTTACCGTCGCCCGTGCCGGTCAGGACGGTTACCATCACCGAACTGAGTGCGTCCACCTTGCCCATGTTCGAACTTGTTACAATCAGGACTGCCACTCATCCTTAATAATTCTGCTTGTTTTAGACTCAACAAGAAGGTGTTCCGAGTTGGTAAAGGTGGCGATGCCGCCAATGCCACCACCGAATTTGATACCACTCAGAAAGCTATTACACCCATGGGTGGTTTCGTCCGTTATGGTGTCGTGACGAACGATTTCCTGATGCTGAAGGTTAGTCGTCCCATACCCACGGTTTTCACGAGGTAGATTGGATTCCTGATTCTCACGCGCACTACTTCCAGGGATCGGTGCCCGGTGTCAAGAAGCGTGTCATCACATTGCGGAAATCGCTTATGACTCACACTTCTCGACGTGATTTGGAAAAGATCAACCTGAAGTTTATCGATACATCCTCCAAATTCGGACATGGTAGATTCCAAACTGCTGCCGAGAAGTCTGCTTTCATGGGCCAACTCAAGTAAGTCATGTAACCCCACTACCACCTGGGCGCCTTTGATCCAACAAGCTGACAACTGGACATCCCTTTCCATCTTGATAGAATCCGATCTTAATTGTTGTATCCTGATACGTCTTGGTTGGTTTATATCGCCAGCCAGATTCATCATCATGAACATGACGCAATCCACACCCACCCTTTTTCTTCCATGCCAATCCATGCTTGCTGCTCCTGATATACATCCCTATGTCTTAAGTCTTCGTATGAATTCATACACTTCGTTTTCGCCCGATGTTCTTTTGCTCAGGGGTCCTCGCTGAGCTCGTGGAATCCACTCTCGCCTTCTATCTATTCTCGCATTTCTACATGTTAATTCCTTATTGGGTCGCCTGGACCCAAGGTCCATTCGGCTCCAATACGGGAGCTGGTCGAGAGGGAAAGCCTCAATGTGAGGTGTGTCGCCGTAATGTTATCCACGCAAAAGGACTCCAAAGTATATATCCTCTCCCGTGGGAGTCTTGGAGAGATCTCCCGAAACCCAACCCTGATCAGGTTTCAACAGCGTACCCCGCTTTCTCCATGCTGGCAAAAAAAAGAGCCCGCCGATTCACCTTGATGACCAACTACAAATACGCACTGCTCATCGTGGCATGTTAATGGGCAACAATGAAGGAGACGGTGCACGACGAAGCAAAAGAAAAAAGTCTCCAACGTGATTTGAACACGTGACCTGCCGCTGAACATTGCTGCAGGCGGCCGCTCTAAACCACTGAGCTATGGGGACCGATGCTGGATGACCACGTTCAAAACTGATATAAATACTTAAAACTAGACTGCTGCTCACATATGCGACACTCACTCACATCTACACATGGAAGTTCGAGACACAAAAAAGAACCTTGCGACGACAAATGGACAAGAAAAAAAAATATAAGGGCGAGGGTGAGGAAGTGAGAAGCGGTGGGAGTTGTGTTCATAGGAAAGTGAGGGTTAGAAGAGCGGTGAGAGACACTACAAGGCGTGACGAAGGGAGGGCAAGAGGATTTGGTTCCATTCATCTTCCCAGCACGACCAGCGTCTCGGCGAGTCAGAAGAGCATCTACCGTCCTTCTTGTCATCTGTGGTTTGATCCCCACATCCATACTCAGCCGTTTGGATCCCTTCTCCCAGCGCCCCTAAGGTCCACCTCCTGTCGCTCCTTGAGGCTCTTGGAACCGCTGGAAACCCCGTTAATAGTTCCTTTGTTTTTCGTCGACATAAGAAGAATGATCGTCAGTGCTTCCGTCGCCACGGCGCTATACAAAAGGAAACATCCGATTTACCTCCAGTTGCTCGCATAATTCATCTGCTGAATCAAAAACAAGCCCGTTTTCACCATGTTTAACCAGCTCCGATATACTGAACACGCGGAAAATTTTAAAACCCACGAAATGAGATGGTTTCTTTTTCTTTTTTTGTTTGGGGGGGGGAGGGGAAGAGAGAACATACCAATTGAAGTTCCTGGCACACACCGGCAGCCCGCATCCGAACATATCAACGACTTTCATGGGCAAATCGAGGCCGGAGGAGCTCTGATGGAGACTGATACCGAGATCGGCGGCGCCCAACAGCTGGCGATAATCCTCGGGTTCGTCGAACCAGACCGACTGACAAACAATCCCGTTTTCTTGCCATCCTTCTTCCCGAGATCGTCGAGCGATTATCCCAAGATACTCTTCTTTCAGAGGGCCTTTCCCCGTAATCAAACATACTACTCTCGGTAATCTTCCATCCCGCCTCTTCTTCTTCACCCCCGAATATCTCGAAAGCGCCTCTATCAACACACGGAAATCTTCATCCATTGTCCACGACGTCGAGGACACTAGTAAGGCTGGTCTATCTGATTTCATCCGAACAGTACGCATGTCTTGGTCTTCATATGTCAACAAGGCTTCCTTGTTCAGCGCTGATGGACTGCCGATAAACATCTGTTGTAAAGTCGGATCATGGTTAAAAGATGATCGACTAAAAAACTGGTGGAAGAAGGTATAAAACACGTGAGTGATTGCTTCATTCGTCTGGTCCGATGAGTGCCTTCTCAACAACATTTCAGAAGAAAAAAAAAAACAGCTCAACAGTGTGGATTTCCGAAGCGGTTAGGCGGCAGAATGATTTAGGTGGTCGGTCATAAAAGACCAGTTTCATGCCTCTGTCCGAAGAAAAATCACAAACAGCAGATCGATCCGCAACCAATAAAAAAAGAGAAGCTTTTAAGATATCAACTATGTGAAAGGCGACAAACTGACTGCAGACTCCACATTTCAGATAAAGCGCGTTTTTCGGCCTCAGCCACGAAGAGATGAAGAGTTGCATGTTTGCCAAAAGTGGCCTCTATCCTGTTCAACAGCAGACAAACGAGGTGAGTTCATTGAGAGTTTTTTTTTCTTTCTTTCGCGATTCATTTGCTCGGGGTTGTTCGCGTCAAGATGGAGGTGGAGATTTACATACCATCTCGCAACACGAACCATCGGGTGTCGATCAGATCCAAACTTGAGTGCAAGAATCGAATACGCCGTGTTGTGCCAATCAATGATCAATTTTGACCCCATCAGTATCCTTGCAAGCTGCACAATCGGGAGCGTCGGGATGGCAGGCGGATTCTGTTTTATTTCATTCAATTTATATTGGGAAAATAACAAAATAAAACCATTCTGAGTGTTCTTCTTAATGATTCTTCAGGGGTTGAACAAATACGAGGAGAAAATGAAAAGGCTATAGTTACTGACTTGAACCAAGATATACGATGAGTGGTTGGCCTTCAAGAGTAAGTTCCATATCAAGCTTGTACTGAGATAGAATGCCTTCAGCGGACCAATGACGAGCACGAATAATATCCTGGGCAAGAGAGAGGATATCCAGTCAGGGAACTCGGTCAGATGAACCAGTTGGATATTAGGGTGTTGCAGGAGGTTTTTAGGAGGATTAGAGCCTAGAGGGGAAGAAAGCGAAAAGAAGACGGCTGATTAGTATTTTTTATTTTATTTATATTCACCTCTTATAGACTGAGTGGATACCGATGGCGGACCTCTGTAGGCGAATATGGATACGTACCACTGCTGGTCTGCAAACGAAAGGGCGTGTCGCATCATCCGCGGGCTTCGAGCGATATCCCCCAGTACAACGATGGCAATCGATTCCTTTCTGGTTGCACATTTTCTGCCATGTTGTCGCAGGACCAGCGCGATCGTCGAGAGAAGTAGAAGCGTGATGGCCAAGCTGAGCATGGTGGTTGGTTAGCCGACCACAACAAGGTCCACTTGCTTCCCTCTCGTTTCTGGCCTAGCCTCCCCCGGGGGTCTCCGGGGGTCATTCCTGGATGGAGGAAAACTGCACAACTCATTAAACTCCCACCATTTCTGCAAAGATGGCTAACTATCATAGAAAACATGTCCCAATCTGCCACTTGAAAAATAAAAAAATGAAATACTATTCCCAAAATAACTTATTGATGAGAAAAACTTGGGATGAAAAACAAGACAGTGTTGCCCCAAGCAAGAAGGGGATTGCAGACAACAAGTGTGAAAAGTTGTGTCACTAAAAGATAACAAAAGTGGATGGTTTGAAGGGGACCTCGGAAATTTCCATCCTAGGAAGGTGATGAAATATGTATGGGAAATGGTATTTGGCATTTTGTTGACCAAGGGGTACACTCATGAAGAAACTATTTGTGCAAAGCCCACCAAATGAGCCAAAAAAATATCAAACCCTGGATTCTTTGGGGGTTTGATATTTTTTTGGCTCAGAGTATCCAAGGATTCAGGTTTTTTTGGGTTGATTTGAAGCTTTTCATGTTCATGAAAAGGCGAATTGATGGGGCCAAACAATGGTACTAATTTTGGTGGAAATGTTACTTTTTTATTACCCATCTCTCCTCCTGGTTGAAGATGCAGCCTCTGGAAAGAAATTTTTTTGTGTGAGATTCTTGGAATTTGTGGGGTTCTTCTGCCTTTCATAATTTCATTCTGAGTTGTTGATAACCAGAGGGTTCTTGTGGATCTGCTCTTTGAAACAAATCTTGTCAAGCCAGCACCCCTGAAAAATGGGGGCTTCCTCCCTCATCATTCCTCAAATGGAACAATTTGCCTTTCCATCCCACCATACTGAAAATTATCTCTCAGAGCACAGGCTAAAAAAATGTTTGATTCTGTCACAATACAAATATTTTGCTTCATTTTTTGTTGTTGTGATAAAATCAGTACAAACCCTGAAAATTTGGTTAAATTATTTGAAGAAATTGAAGAAATTGTGGCCTAATAGAATCCCTAGCGGTCCGGGGGTGGACAAGCTTGACTTTGGTGGGCCTCTCACATTTCCCCACGTGTCATGGATCTGTCACATTCACTCCAAAAATGGACTTTCCATCACGGGGGGGTGGATTCTGGGCCAATTGTTTTGGTCACAGTGTGGTCTCCTTGACGCAGTCCCCTGCAAAGTACAGCCGTTATTTTTATTTTTTATTTTTTCAAAACACTTCCTTTTTTCAATTTTCATCACTAAAATACCCCAATGGACACACTTGAGATCCTGGAGTGATTTGAGGACGACGACAATATTTTGTTAGGCTTGCTTTCTTGGTGAATCAGTGATTCCTGTAAATCGGTCTAGTGAGAGTAATCTCATCAAGGAGGGGATAGAGAGGAATCATAGCTGCTTCATAGGGAGATATTGATTTTTGGTAGGATATGTTGAGTTGGTGGTGTGGAAAGGATATGTTAGACATCAGAAATTGGACGGCAATGGGACGAAAGTGTGTTTTTGGCAGCTTGTTTTCTGGGATGCCAAAGCTGCCAAGAGTGGCATGTTTTGGAAGCTTTGATCCACCCCTGGAGTGTTTGGCAGGTTGGATAGCACTAGGTCCACTTTGAGCTCAAAAAATTGTACAGGATGCCAAATGTGGATCCAGGTTGCACAATAGCAGGACCATTAGCAATTCTCTAAGGGACATGGACAAGGAAAAGATGAGCTAGGAAAATCAAGATCACAGAGTGTTTAGGGACTCAGACCAACATTTGTGGAGACTCCAGAGGAGCATGTCTCAGTGTTGTGGGCTCAGAGCTTAGTGAGGATTGTATTTTGGAAAGGAATTGAAGAAATAAAACTGTGAAAGGGGGCCTGAGTTGAGGGCCTAGGGTGAAAAAGAACAGAAAAGAAGAACATGGAAAAAAAAAGAAAGAATAACCTTTGGGGGCAAAATCAGAATTTTAACAGAAATAAAGATGAATTACGGCTTTTATGACACTTGAACATAAGCCATTTCCGGGGACAATTTCAGTTTATTTATTTTTCATGAGAACCGATTTTCCCCAGAATTGGGTACCCTTGGTACCTTAAACCCAGAAAATCTGAGAATATATTTCAGGTTAAGAAGATGTTTTTTGAGAAAAAAGGACCATCACTTTGTTATGCATAAATTTCCACACCACACTCCCTGACCTGGGTAGAATTTATCAGGTTATAGATCCTTCCTGGCTGATCCGTCAGAATTTCCAAGTTCTCCAAATTTTGTGTGTCTCAATCTGCCACAACAGCATCAAATTCTTTACCCCACCTTGTTTGAACACACATATTCAAGCATTTCACACTCCCACACAGGCTGAAAATGGCACTGATAAAAAAAGACATAAACTACTTTTGGCATCCCAGAAGAAAATTACCAACAGCAGATGTGTGGACAAAAAACTGCCTCAATCCTACTAATAAGAATAATTAATTTTTTGAGCAGATTTCTAAGTGTATATCACTTTCCCTTTCAAAAAAAAACATGAAAAAATAAATAATAGCTGGACACATGGCATAAATGACCTAAATGGGTGATTCAACTTGAAGATGACTGAAGAAAAATATCAAAAATACCAATAATAAACTTCACAATGTCTACATTAATACCAAATTCCCTGTGTAAGCGCAAAGTGGTTTTGGATTGGGCTGCCTGGTAAACTCGAAAATCACCACCAAAAGCAAGACTGGGATTAGTTGGTCAAATCTTATCCCTGACACAGTTTCAGTAATATCATGGGATGGCCCTCCCTTTCTTTGACTGGCCCATCAAGTCTTTAGTGTTACATTTCAAACTGGAAAAATTTAATTAGTAGAAGCACCAAGCTTGTAAATATCCACAGAATCCATCAGGGTTCCAGAAAAAACAAACATTCAAAATCTCCTTCCTTGAGCATTGGAGAAGAAAGTAGTCTAACTACTTGGCACCAAAAGAGCCTTGGAATTCAAGAATAATTGCATTGCTACCTTGCTTGGTTTTGGAAAGTAAAATTTTTGGGACAACCTACCTCAACAATGTGGGAATGTGCAGAGCAAAATTCAGTCTTTTCCCAAGTGTGCTTGCAATGTATTCAATGGGACTGTGACATATACCATCTGCAAAAAAAGAGAGTGGTGTGAGTCTGACACCGGTAAATTGAATGCTCTCAGAAGGCTTTTGATAATAATAAAATGGTTCTGCACCCCCAGTGTTGCGTCAAGTGGGCGGAGGGAGGTATGTCCCCTCTGATTACAGAAACTGTTCCCAGGGTTTCTTGGGAACAGTGATACAGACCCTAAAATTCTTGTGAAAATATTTCACAGAGGTGTAAAATCTCCCTGAAAATTCCAAAGCAAACTCAAAGACTTCTACCAGCACAATAAGAATTGGGATGCTGCAGGTACCATCATGCTAAAATGTGGCCTTGCGTTGACATGACATGTGCATGCTTTCTGTGGAAATCTGTGACAGGTAGGTTCTCCCTTACCAATACTGCTGGCTCTCAGTTTACACATGATAATAATCAAAATGATTAAACCATAGCACCAAAAGTAGAGCTGGCAATTTGTAAAAACTACACCAGTGCAAACCATGGGATTGTGTAGGTATGTGAAATCACCCACTGGGTGGGAAGCTGAAGGTACAGGAAAAAATCAAGCCCTGTCAGGATCTTAATTCCAAAGCATAAATTATATGAGTTCAGTTCAAGAGACACTTGATCTCACATCAAGGCTTGCCAGGCCCAATCAGATTTTGGATAAGTGTATATAGATATCCACAAGGCTGATTCCCCATAATTCCAATTCAGGGCCTGCGCACTAAACAAAACTTTGTGCTCAAGAAGTGGCAGTGATGTTCCCTATTGCTGGATAATTTAGTTTTAGTGGCCTTGATACTGCAAAGTTATTACTTTGTTTCTTTTGAGAAAAGTCACTTCAGAAAGCCAAAAACGTGGGGAAGTTGATTTTAGCTAATATCTGGTCAAAAAACTGCAAGATTTTACAAAGTATTCCCAGTTACAATTTTCTAACATCATAATATTTTTCCCAGCCAGGATAAACTCATCATATATCACTGTTAATTTTTCAGAACTCAAAGTAAAATAAGTATTATTAAATTAAATGAAGAATTAGATTTATTACTGGAAATATAACCAAACTGAAAAAAAAAAAAAAAAATGATGAGCAGAAATTTGAGAAAAGAAAACAAAAAGAGCTTGATAGATGATTTAAATAAGCATACCACTGAGCCTGATAATTCAGGTGAATGGATGGAACAACAGAGGTGATAGAAGATAAGTAAGTAGGAAATGGGCTGAAAGGAACAAAAAAAAAAATAGAAATAAAGAATAAGATAATATTTACATAAATAAGGATTAAATATAGTTCAACAATGAGAGAGGATATTGTGAAAATTGACAACACATTTTTCAGACATTTATCAAGAAAGATCAACTTGGGCAGGATTTGAACCAGCGACCTTAGCAGAATCACTAGAAGTGCTGCCTTTACCAACCAGGCTACCAATTCTGTGCCTGATGTGTTGATTTTAGAAAGTATGGCTTGATCTCATTTGGATACATAAGCTC